TAGCTGTTTTCATCATCTCAATGAAAATGTTAAAAAGACGATTCGAGCATCAGGAATTAGATTCACCATCAACTGTAAGCCGGGGAAATTTTATCATCACACGCTCTTTCGGAAGCTTGTAAAGTCCGATCTGCCGTTCACGCTAGCGTCGCCACGTGCAACGCACGCGCTCACACGCACTCAACTATCTCCGCCTCGTCAGGNGTTTGTGAAGAGTTTATCTTCATTTTCCGAAAGGCTGGAGGTCTATGATCTTTAGCTGTTTTCATCATCTCAATGAAAATGTTAAAAAGATGATTCGAGCATCAGGAATTAGATTCACCATGAACTGTAAGCCGGGGAAATTGTATCATCACACGCTCTTTCGGAAGCTTGTAAAATCCGATCTGCCGTTCACGCTAGCGTCGCCACGTGCGACGCACGCGCTCAGACGCACTCAACTATCTCCGCCTCGTCAGGAACGGCGTAACATACCTTCACATGTGCCTCGGCACAGATAACAACGTCTAAACCGCTGATTGACATACATTGAAACAACAGGAACAAGAAGCCTAAAGAGTGATCGTTAACCTTTGAATTCACTGTTTGTCTTGTTCAGATGAGGCAATCGAAGAAATGGAAACTGAAAGGTTGTACGAAACTCACAAAAATGTTTCACTCAAAGATATCTTAGGACACGGCACCTACAGGTTAGCTTCTAATTCTCGATTTAGTTGTTAGGTTTGGCGTTTGTGCATTTCACCTAACTGACAGTCTCCATCTACCACCGTGATCACACGATTTCGTGAGGGCCCTGACATGGCACATATTCTTCTCCATGCATCGTGAATAATTATTCATAACAACTACATAAAACGGTCAAAAAATACAATTTTGAATGGTATGAGCTAATAACTGATTAAAGAGATTGGAGAAGAGAAAAGTGCGGTTACCAAGTTGTACATATGACAAATTTTAAGTTAATTTCCATGAAAAAACAGTATCATCACTGCAACTTCATAGCATGATGCTTCTCAGCGATATACGGTGGTTTTTTGGTTACTTGTTTGAAGCGATATTTCATCGTGCCAACCTCCTCAACTGGTTTTTACGATACTGAAATGGAAACTTCTCAATATGCATTTGGATTAGGAGCAAATGTAGAGGTTACCATAGGACTAAACTTCACCTTTGAACTCGAGCGCACATGACTGTCGCATTTGCTTTCTGTTGCCCTGGGTACATAATAACGCAGATTTTTGGAGTGGAAGTTGACCACTATTTCTCAGATACTGCTTCTTCCTGGTTCTTTTCTGTGCTTTTCTACCCACGTGTTCCGCCTTGAATATGAAGCTGCAGTACCTGGTTTCATGGCTGATTAGCTACGGCATGTCACAATCTCAAGTGAGTCAAATTCTTTTTTCAAACGAAAAATATCGCGGTGTTCAGCTCCGAGACTGATGCGCAACTAACTGATATTTATATGATTACGAGTTAGAGTGTTGGACTCAGCCGCATTTGTTGTCACTGTCCATCTGGAACTTTCATTTTAGTGCCAACGATGCTCATTCCGAGAGTGTCAAAAAAGGGGAGAGGCAGGAAGAGCATAGCAAGGATTGAACTCTGTCATTTGAGGCTTATTTAATACCGTACCTACCTACATAACTAAATCCATCTATTTTATTGTGAGAGGAGTCATTTATCAACCAAGATGAACTGAAATATACTGGTGAAGTATTTTCCATGCTTTTCAATGATTTCGATTCCGTGTATATATCGGAAACTAATTCCTTTTCATCAATTTCAACTGAGTGTCACCCTAGGGCTGGCGGTCAACAACAAAGCAGAACGTATGAAAAATAGTGCTTTTTATCGTATGCCTTCTATGTTACGCCTCAGTACCTTTTGCCTTCTTGCTTTACAGTGGCACATGAAGGGACATCGGAAATCTAATGAAACGAATGCCCGAACTTGCACATAGTAGATGTTTCAAGTGGTTTAAATCGGCAAGGCGATACTGGGCAAAACCATTTGATTCTAGGCCACCTCGGCGATGACAGCAATCAGCATTGTGTCCCTACCGCTGTGCTTCGTGTCACCACTGTTTATAGAGCGATGTGGACGTCGTAAAGTCTTTATACTGATCGCAGCGCTTTGCACCCTCGAATGGGTTTTTTTCGGCATGGCGCAACTACTTCATGATGCGGGTGCTACGGTAAGATATTTCATGTTGATCAATTATTCCTTAGACTGCTATCGCAACTTTTAGTAATGCAATATGAACTGTAAAGACTTCAAATACTGCTAATTTTGAGGTACTGTTCTGATAGAGAAGATTAAATTGTAAGCAATGTTAACGTGGAGAAAAAACACCTTGCAAGCAGAATAGTGAGCCCAGTGGAGTAGAGAGCACAAGTTTTCGGGAAGCATGACCCCTATGTCGTTGTACTATGAAGGGACCTGCAGACGACGAACTACTGCTGAACAACCCGGCCTTAATCTACATACGTTCAGTAGCCTCTCGAACTTGGTTGAATCGAGTTGTTTATTTGAATGGGCATGATTAATATTGCTATTTGATTTCATCCCCCTATAACCACAGCGTTGTAGACATAAAATCTTTCAGTAATTCACGTCAATACTGATATTCGTGGAAATTTGTGTACGTGAAGCTGTTTTCAGGATTTGAGGTTTTCCCAGTTGCTCAGTGTTTTTGGAGCCACGTTGGGTCAATGTGCTGTCAACTTGGGTCTTTTGGTCATGGCACCAATGATGATATCCGAAGTGTGCCCTCATAACACTAGAGCCACTATATCTCAGGTACATGATTCGAAAAGGAAAAATAAAAAGTTGGTGCAAATACTCGCTTCCATTCTTTCGGAGCTCATTGATCATTGATAAGAATCGACTATCAGCATTGATTGCACAGCAAAAGTTATAAATAAGACAGTGCGATGGACGATAACTTAAATTTAGTTGACTCAAGTGTTACCTGCTGCTGTGGGAACGGTGGAAGTGTTGTTATTCCCACACCTGCGTTCCTGTCTTGGAGCAGGAATTTTCTTCTTTTTTTCGGCATGTTGCGCACTACTTGTAATCGCTCTCTATAGGAAGGTTTGTTGAAGTTCAAAGATTTCAAATTAAACTCATTCGTTCGATTTAATGAAATCAAATGCAATGATTACAGATGGTTGAGACTACAGGAATGCCAGTCGATTACATCGTCCGTCAGATCCACTCCGTGTACTCTCGGAAAAGCACAGCTGCCTCCGAAGGCGGTAATTATGGAGCCTTGTTTCACGAAAGCTCCAGCCTTCTTTCAATGCACCATGGTGTGCCCCCGCAATGATCTCTATTTATTGTATTGCACTTCTGTTTCATCTTCACATATAAAATGGGTCGTTCCGTTCGGTTGTATTGCTCCTTCTACATTTCTGCAACAACGGGATTCCGTATCAATCTGGGCTCTGAATGATCCTCAATTTATGCACAGGTTGACACTTTCCACCCAGAAGAGTATACAACGCTGTAAGTGAAATAAGTTACATACATGGAAGTGTAGCCAAGTAAGTTGGCATTCAGCGTTTGACACAAACGTTAGCGACGTTTGCTTCTTCTTGTTAACCTGGTCGGTCTCAACCCCGCAAAATCATGGATGAGATGGGTTCCATCCACTCAAATTTCTCGAGAGCAGCGCTGTTTTGAGAGTCTTTTGTGCTTTTTTTTGGGCACATCGAGTTCTAGGATAATCACAGCACTGCTGTCATTTACAGAAATGACGCACAGTATTCAAGAGGGCAGGCACCACGAAACTGCCAATAATAGTATTTAAACCGAAAGTCCCTTCGAGTATCGTTCCGGGTGAATGGCAAACATTCCCCTTCAGAAAAGTTCCGGTTCAATGCACCAGGCTGGCCTCAACTTCTTAACTCCGAGCTTTTTTGCTCCAACCATGTACTGTTTTGAATGCTCTGTTTTTTACTTTTTGGGGTCCCTTTTTTGCGGAAACTACTGCACCTAATCCTGTTCGAAAAGGAACCAACCTTTTATAAATGTGGTCTTCTGTAGAAGAACTCTTATTCTGTTATATACACCCTTTTGGCGTTCCCTTCTGTCATGCCATATTATATACTTGATCTCAGCTCAGACATGACATGTGCACCTGCGTGTAATTGAGTGCATCAAGAAATGCTAATTGGAACCACAGAACAGATTAAGTTTCAGTAGCACTAGCCAGCGAGATCGGCTTATCGAGCATAGGAACTAGGATGTCTACCGCTTTCATTCATATTTTCAAATCAGTTGGGCAACCATACGTCAATGATTATAAATGACTCTTGTCGATGAGTGTTTAGAAATGAAGTATTATTATTCCGCAGAATACGAATCTAGAAAGTGAAGACAGTTCCACTGCAGCATTCTGTAAGAACCATTTCTGCATAAGGTAAACAAAAGAATAAATGAATAAAAATAAAGAGCAGTATGGTGAAAACGTTTTTTGAATTGTGGCCAATAAAGGTTCCCCTACACTTGTACAACGCAAAAAGGCCTATAGTTCTAGCTAGTATAGGGACAGGCAATGCGAGTAGGTCGACTCGTTTAATCCCGAGTGAGTCCTGCGAAGACCTATCTTCGACACTCGATCGTTAAGCATCTTGATCAGCACATATATCTGCCTTGAACGCGCTCAATAACGTCTCTAATATAACTGTATAGTCGAGTGCTGCACTGAGGACTCCGTCGGCTTGGTTGGAGTACAGCTCGTAGTCGTAATTTTCCGATCAGGCGGATTGTTCAGTTGACTTGATTCCGTACTCTTGCCATAATTGTTCGATCTTTGAAACACATCCTCAATCGCTCCAGCCCTTCGTGAAGTTTATTCTAGCATTCGCTTTCATACCCTGGAGTCCAGTCACTGTTCGAAACTTTCAAGGTCTCTTATTTCTCCTTTTTGAAACGCGACAGTACCATTTTAGTGTTGATTCTGAAGCCCTACTATTTTCAGCGCGATGAATCAAGAGAAATTTAGGACAAGAGTTGTTAACACGATCAGTATTTTACCCGAACAGGTTGAAGTCAAATATTTGCACCTGAGTGGATCTAAACAGAAGCCCGACACGACTGTTCCACCTAAGTTGATTTGAATCGGGAACTCAATTATTAGCTGTGTCCCTGACTGTTTTGACTTCATTGCGCGATTCCACTTTAGGAATTGAACTTGACTAATAGTAACTTTTTGGTGGATATATCTTGGCTACCCGTTTGGTAACTCAACTTTAGAACTTAAGCTCAAAGACGCGATCAATTCCTTCACCTCACGGAGTTCCAATTAAATACGCATTCGGAGCTCACTCAGGATTTGAATTTTATGACTCGATCGATAAAATCACTTAGTGGGTTTAAAAACACAGTTCAGGATAATTTTGGGTAACTCAATGGCAGGTAAAATGGAAAATAACACGATAAAAGCGAAAACACCGCCTGAATCGGTGTTTCTAGAGCGAAAAAGGTTTCAAAAAATGGTTAAAAGGGGGCTGGACGAGAGTGGGATCACTAAAATGAAGAAGAATGGGGCGTTTGGGCGAGCTATACATTGTGTGTCAGTTCGTACGTGTGGGTCCTGGTGCGAATAAATGACTATAGTAGGCAAACATTCATTCACCCACGAGCGAAGTTAGCAAAACCCCTGGTAACAGCAAAAAAAGCCCAAGTTTTTCAGCTTCTATAGGTAAAGAATTAAATGAGGGATCGCATTAGCAAAGAGAATAATAGAGGACAAAAGAATTGGAGAAATTATCGCCTTATTACTCAGCGATGAGCTGACTGTGTATAGGTCCTAGAGCGAAGATATGCAACCTGTATCATCTCGACACTAGTCTGACGTAACATCGATCAAGGGGCGGGAAAGCCCCGCGAGTCAGCAAGAGAGAATTATCGTGAACTGTGCCTTTAAATGGAATACTCATTTGAAACACCACTTTGGTGAGTTGAAAACGAAGACTTTATCAATAATTCTACCTATGAGGTTGGATACGTGTTCGAACTGACTTAAGAACATTCACTATTACTAATACAAATGTCGATATGTAAATTCTAGAAAACCTCCTCTCTACTGGTCTTGCTAGTTGGAGATGGGCCGATGCACCAACCGAGGGAATTCGCTTGTTGTAACAGTTTGCTGCCGAATAGTTTGCCTGCTACACGGTTTTATATTTCTTACGCGACCAAATAAGCGAGACTCTCTCAAATGCTAACTATCGGTTAAGAAATGTTCATCTTCAAATTGGTGAACGCGTGTTAATTAAGAGATGATAAGCAAAATAGAACGCGTGTTAATTAAGAGATGATAAGCAAAATAGAGAGCGATTACTTCAAGTGGTGGAAGAGAATTTTTCCTCACGTTCCTTTTTTTGCCTATATGTGGTCACTGCGCGATCGTAGCATTTGATCCGCTCGCGCGGGAATACCAATGAGATGGCTTGAAGTCAGGAACGGATAATCAAGTAATGATTAGTTGCAGTTCTTTGAGGTTATTCTTGGAAGTTTGGTCATAATTTCCATTTCTGTGACTACTTCGGCGATGGAGATTCTCGTCAAGCGCTCCAAATAGAATGCAGCACAGCAATCTGAGCAAGTATGGCCGAAGGTGAGCTAAACCAGCACCACTTTCGGACTGTTAATGAAACATTTAAGTCAGAACCATAACCATGAGCATGAGAATTTGACTCTCCATCCTCTAAGGTCATTATTCGTCATATACACTTTGTGGTTAAATCGTGTTGGATATACCACACCCGGCAGAGCATGAATATATCTGAATACTCTAGCCTGAGACAGGATGGCGTATCATTATGGTAGGCGACACAGGATCGTTTTTTTCCTCCGAACCCGATCAAAACCAAACTTCATGCATTGAGCACCACGTTCATTTGGAAGCGGTGCGTCAAAATCCTAGAACCATTGATCACCATCAGGTGATGTGGTGTTGAGCTGACTTCTCGCTTTCAATCACATTCATTGAAGCATGCGAGTGGCCAAACTCGCATTGAGAGGTAGATCCTGATACAATTTCAAATCATGCAAGTGAACAATGGCAGTGGAGCTACGGTATTCGCTAAAAGCGCCTCACGTTCTAGCAGTTTTGAATGTTCATAAATTATGTAATAGGTCAAAGCGAAACAGTTTACTACACATTCCTGCATAATTTAGAGAACCTCATGTGTAACTAAAAGAAAAATAAGGTTTTTAAACTTCGTCATTTTATACTATCGGTTCGCGGTTCATATTTCTACTTCTCCAATTCCATGAAGTTCAGAGAATTCACATTTCATAAAGTGTGTAGCAGTTGTTGACAAAACATCAGGCAAGCCACGCCATATCCGCGCTGTTCAATCCCAACTGCAACATTTGCATCAATATGCCAGAAATAAAAAATACAATGCAATCGTAACTGCACAAAAAAAAACAAAATAACGCGATTCCAAGTCTTCTTTGTTTTCTCTTTGAACTAACTTTAGATTTCACTACTTCATTGAGAGTAACACATAATTCGACAGCTTGTCGAGCACGAAGTTATTGATTCAAAATTTTGAAAAGTTCTCAGTCCATCAAAATTCTTAACGGTACACCATTAGCGACGGCACTCGCTATAGGGTATTCACTTCCATTGAAAGTATTGAGGGAGTTCCAGAATAGCTTGCATATTCCTTGCATTCCTCAGGTTACCCTGGCCAATTAGATACGATTTTTCTGAATGGATGGTTCGACTACGCGCTTATTTTAAATGACATTGGATTTTTAACTGAAGATTGTCGAGTTTACTATCAAACTCGATGGAAGGTATACCGATAGACCAATAGAGCTAGACGACGCTAGGAAGCGCCTCATTTATTATGTTCCCTTCAGAAACAGTCAAGCAGGAAGCAACACGCAACCATAAGAAGTGTGTGTACCATCCAAGGAGCGAGACGAAAGTTTTGGCGTTTTTGAGTATCTTTGAGAATTCGTGGAAACCTTGATGACCTTTCGCATACGTCTTCCGTGCAGATTGCCGAACCTTTCGACCGGACACCGGTAACGTCTCCTGTTCTTGGCTGGAACGATGTAGCCCAGTCAAACTCCTT